AGACCTTTTTTTTTTTTTTTTTCTGTCAGGTGCTTGCACCCCACTCGTGTGTAGGGGCGTGTCGCCGACACAAATTCAGAACAATCAGTCACTTTTTCAGTTACCGTTGGGAAGCCACGTGGCTTCCCACGGTCCGTTTGATCTCAACGGTAAAAAAAATAAAAAAAGTCTTATTTAATATCCACCATTCGATCTGAGATCAACGGTGGATATTAATATGCTTTATAAGTAAATAAATAAAAGAAAAAATAGTTTTAAAATTAAGAAAAGTTACTGTTGTGACACGTGGCACAATCTGAAGTGTTGGAATTCAAATTTTTTTATATCCAACGGCAGAGATTAATTAGTTGAATAAAAAGTTAAAAAAAAAATTGTAAAAAATTCGAAAAAAAATTCGAAAAAAAATCTGAAATTTTTTTTTAAAAAAATTATTTTTACTTTTCTATAAATACCTTCTCATTATCATCTACCTTACACCACAATTTCATATTTTTTCAACTACTTTCAATCACATTCCTTTCTTTCTCTCAAAGTTTCAATCCATTTTTTTTCAACAAAATGACAACTGATGCAGGTACGAATTGGTCGCTTCTTGAAGATGTTGCATTGTGTACTAGCTGGGTTGAAGTTATTCATAGTTCGCTTACGGATAATGAGATGCAGTTGCGAGAAATGTGGAGTTTTATTCATACCAATTATCTTGAGAAAATTGGTGGGAAAAGAACCAAATAATCGATGTCCAGTCGTTGGAAATTACTTAGCCAATCGTTTAGTACGTGGAGAGACGCCTTGGCACAAGCTAGTAGTAATATTCGAAGTGGGGAAAATTACTCGGATCAGGTAACAATATATTATTTATTTGTTTGTACTATACACAAATTTACATTATAATTATTTGTTTGTATTATTTATTTGTTACCTACTTACATTATAATTATTTGTTTGTATTATTTATTTGTTAACTATTTTCATTATAATTATTTCTTCTCCCGCATTGTGTAGGAACTTCAAGCACAAGCTTGGTACGGTGCCAAAACCAAAAGCAAAAATAAATCATTCAACTGGTGGGAATGTTGGGATATTGTCAAAGATTGTCCTAAATTTAGAGTTGTGCCTGTCGGTCCAAAAGTTTTCATGAACAGCACCCCTCTACACTCTACACCAGATCATGTCTCGCATGTTCATGAAGATGATGCAGCCCGAAATGCCCATCCCTGAACAAGCGTTGGGTTCGACCCGTTATCCAATTAGGCCTCAAGGTAAGAAGGCTTCAAAGAGAAAAGGGAGTGCTTCCAAGAATGATTATGCAAAGTTCATGGAAGAACTTACTCGCCAAGGTGAATTGACTTTGGCGAGGGAAATGGCGAAATATGAGGCTGATAAGGTTAGAGAGGACACAAAAGCTGCAGCTATTGAGAGAGAATTTCAGGCTAATGAGAGAGAAAGAGAGCTACTTAGGCAAGAAAGGGAACATGTTAGAGAAGAAAGATGAGCTCAACGAGATCGTGAGATTATGAACATGCCTTTAGAAGGGAAGTCTCCAAATTCTAAATTTTTTTGGAAGTCAGAGAAAGCGGACGTGGTGCGAAGGAGGCGTGCAAGAGACGCGAGAGCAAGCCAATATGGTCCTAGCACCACAAGAGAAGATCAACCTAGCACCACAAATTGGTTAAGTGATGATGAATAGAGTAGTTTTTGTAATCGAAGCCCATAATTTTCCAATCACTTTGGGTTGTAATTTATTATTTATTGAATATAGTACTTTATGTTGTTTCCAATTTATTGAATATTTATTCAAATGAATTTGGTAAGTTATTTATACTAAGAGAATATTTATTGAAATGACAAAAACACACCAAATAAAATTACATAAGCATACCAAATAATAAAAAACTCACTAAATCTGAACTAAAAAAATTACATAAACATACCAAATAATAAAACACACCAAATAAAATTACATAAACATACCAAATAATAAAACACACCAAATAAAATAACATAAACATACCAAATTAAAAAAAAACACACTAAATGAACTTAATTATCTTCAGCTTGTTTCAATGCCCACTAGTGCTCTATCAAGTCAATGTGCCGGGCATTATGCATGTCTGGCATTTGAAATGCAGTATATCGTTGAATAAGCCTTTCATTGTAACGTCCATCCCTTTGTAATGGCTCATGTTGCACGGGCTTATCGGTCGCATCATGAGCACAATATATACATGTTCTTGAATTGTTCATCGTGTCTGGCTCATATTCATCAACGGCTTCATAATCGTACTCATCTTCCACAATTATGTTGTGAAGAATGATGCACGTCATCATGATGGATCGAAGCGACTCTACATCAAACAATCTGGCAGCACCCTTGACGAACCCCCAGCGAGTTTGGAGGATACCGAAACAATGCTCCACATCTTTCCTGCACCCCTCTTGACAGCTTGCAAAGTGTTTTTCTTTTGCACTTTGCGGACGTGGCACTTTTTTGACAAATGTTGACCACCGCGGGTAAATGTCGTCAACTAGGTAGTATGGCCTGTCGTACATACGTCTGTTGACCTCATACGTGACTTTTGGTGCCTTTCCTTGCATGACATCGTTGAACACTGGAGATTAGGTAAGGACGTTGATGTCATTTTGAGCTCCTGGAATCCCGAAAAAGGCATGCCAAATCCATGTATCAAAAGATGCCACCGCCTCCAAAATGATACTTTTTGCTCATTTTCTGTCCCCATAAGCGCCTTGACATGCACTTGGACAGTTTTTCCACGTCCAGTGCATACAATCAATGCTTCCAATCATCTCAGGAAAACCACGCATCTCGGCCTTCTTCAGAAGCCATTCCAAGTCCATGTTTGTAGGTTTTCGGAGGTACTCTGTAGTGTAGATAGATTCGGTTGCTTCGCAAAACCTCATCAGGAACTCAAGAATGGTTGATTTCCCCATCCTCGTTATCTCATCCACTTGGTCTGCAGATGCTCCATATGCAAGCATCCGCAAGGCATCAGTAATTTTTTGCTGATGAATGAGACCCATAGCACTAAAAACATCATTCTTTTGCACAAAGTAAGAATCGTAGTTGCAAACAGCAATCATGGTTTTGTTGAACAAATGTCGTTCCATTCTAAAACGACATCTAAAGTACGTATCAGGGAATGCACTATTAGGGACAAAATAATCATCCAAGAGTTCCATACCTCGTCGTTGCCTGCTTCTATCAAGGTTTTCGGAATGGCTGGGCCTGCAGATCCGAGCCACAGCTTGGGTGACTCGACGGGAATGTGAGGCTCTGCCCATTCTTACTTCATCATCTCTCCTTCTACGCTCCTCATCCTCTTCTCTCTCATTTTTTGCCACCTGGTGATTGAACATTCCTTCTGATTAGTTAAACAATTCTTCCTCTTCCTGATCGAGTTCCCACATCATCCTTGAGGAAGAAGAAGACATTGTAAGAAAGAAGCAGAAACTATGAATAATGATACAGATTTTTGTGAAGAAGGAAGCAGAAACTATGAATAATGATAGAGATCTTGAGAAAATTGGTGTGAGATTTGTGAGGATGGATGGTGGATTATATGGAGGATTAAGAAAGAATTAGGTTGTAGATAATGCCACATGGCATGCCGTCATTCGTTAAAAATCTAATGGAAATCTATCCTCAAAGATTGTAAACAGATTATGACACGTGGCGCGACGTGATTGGTTAATAATCTTATCAAAAATCCATCGCCAATAATTGTATTTTTGGATAATGACACGTGGCGTAACGAGTACGATTAAAAATCTTATCGGAAATCCATCTCCAATAATTGTCTTTTCGGATTTTATGACAAGTGACGCAACGAGAACGATTAAAAATCTTATTTGAAATTACAAATAAAATTATTTTGTATTATTTAATAATACTTCGGATAAGGATACGTGGCGCAACGAGAACGATTAAAAATTTTATCCGAAATTACAATTAAAATTATTTTGTATTATTTTATAAATAAAAAAATACTAATATTTTATTGCCTATTGCCAGGGCTATTGAAGTGTAACGGTGGAGATGCAAAATGCGATTACTGTTCATTAAGGGCAGTTACAGTTCACCAGGTGGATTGAATACTGAATAGCCTGGGGGGAGGGCTCCAACGCTGGAGTTGCTCTAAATGTGGAAAATGTTTGAATTTTGTGAGAAATTGTGGGATACATTCTATATTTTATGGTCATGATCTTGATTTTGTTTGATAAATACTTTTAATGTGGAAAAAGTTTGAATTTTGTGAGCATGCAGAATGACAATTTGATTAAATGAAAAAAATCACGCACAATGACAGTTAGTAAATTAAAAGATTAAGGTAAGACTATTTTTTAAATTAAAAACGCGCAACAAAAATGTTGCTTTTTTGTGATCAAATGTTACGGGTTCGAGTTGCGGAAACAATTTCTTTGTAAAATAAGAATAAAATTGTATACAATCGATGTTCCTCTTCCACAGCGACCCTCGCAAAGCTGAAGATCTTATTGTTTGAAGTTGCCTTAAAAACAAAAAAAATGATATAACAATGCTAATTTACACTCAGAAAAGTGAGTTGATAAAATATATATATATATATATATATATATAACTAAGAAAAGTGAGAAGGTATAAACCCAAATCGCAATAAGAGACGTAAGAAATTAACAATAGTCGATGTTAGTTTCAACATAAAGAAAAAAAAAAGCCTAGAGATGACAGATCTTATAAATTATTTGAAATCTTTTGAATTAAAGAGCGAAATCAGAAAAATATTTTATTGCTAGATTTTACTGTTTATTTGGACCAAGTTTGCATGGAAAAGATAGCCTCATGCCTCGATCAGGCACTCGGCAGCGCCGACAAGATACTTATTTAATTGTATTTTTGATGTGAGCATTTTCGTAATAAAAGTGAAGCATGAGGGCATGAAATATATCTCCAACTATATAACAACATATGGCTTTGATAGATACACAACATAGCCTAACTAAGTTGTAAGACTTGTAGCATTGGATTGGAGAATACATATTATTCTTCTAAAAATGCCCATGGCCTTTTTCTTGGTGCCATTATTTCGCATTTTCTTTCAGAAACTCAGAGGTCTCCCCAGAAGTGTAAGCAGCAACAACCATGCAACCGGCATATCACCAAGCCAGTCTAAAAATCACAACTCGTTCGGTTCTCTTTACTCTCAAAGATCGAACCTCACGAACCAAACTTGGATCGTCTTTGACGTTGAAGGAGCTCTACTGAAATCCTCTTGTTTGTTTAATTACTTCATGCTCGTGGCTTTTGAAGCTGGAAATTTCTTAAGGGCACTTGTTCTTTTCCTTTTATGCCCTATCATATTTTTCGTCAGTGACGAATTAGGGTTGAAAATAATGGTGATGGTCTGCTTCTTTGGGGTTAAGAAAGACAGCTTTAGAATTGGCACGGCTGTTTTGCCTAAGTTCTTCTTGGAAGATGTTGGGTTGGAAGCCTTTGAGGTGCTTCAAAGAGGTGGGAATAAAGTTGGTGTTAGTAAGCTACCGCAAGTAATGATCGAGAGCTTCTTAAAAGACTACTTGGAGATTGATATGGTGATCGGGAAGGAGCTAAAGGCGTTTGGTGGATACTTTTTGGGTATCATGGAGGAAGAGGAGAGCCATATTGTTTCGCCGCTTTGGGAAGAACAAGAACATGGTGGAGATGATGACATGGGCTTTGATACAATTGGTATCTCTACCTCCAACAAATTTAATGATCACCAACTATTCTCTTACTGCAAGGTACTTCCCTTATTCAATTTTCACTTGGGTTTAAGTAGTTAATTCAGTTTAATTGACGACTTAATTAGTTTACTTTCCTTTAATTATATATAAAAATAAAGAATTGAAACTTCATAGGCCATAATGCAAAATTTGAAAAACTGTAGTCTATATGAATGTCATTAGCCAAATTATAATAAAAATGTACTGATAGTAGTTTTTTTTTTTTTTTTTTTTTTTCAGCTTTTAAGTTGTTAAGTGATATGATAAAACGGTATAATTATAATAGGTTATTAAAAACTAAAGAGATTTAGAATAAACTCATATAAATCGTATAAACAATTTTCATATACTTTAAAGAGATTTGGTTTAGTTTTATACATAATTCATATTTTGGTATAAGTTCGTGGACATATCATTTTCGAACATAGGAATTTTTTGTTCAACTAAGATCAATAAATAAAAATTTACTCTCTAACTAAGGTTAATATGGTCACCTACTAATATTTCTTTTCACTTACCTATCCTTAAAAACACAAAATGTTGATTGATCCAACCATATTAGTGAATATATTCACCCCTATAAAAGATTTGCAACTTAAAATATTGGAGTAGTGCAATAATGTAGACACAAAGTTATATGTATGTAATATACATGGTTTAGAGGGGTCATCAAGAATTTTTTTTTGTCAAACGATAGAAATGTTAGATTAGATATTAGATTAAGGAGCTGACGGGCCGGGTTTGAACCTACACCGTAGTGCAAGAGCAACACTCCTCTCCATCACTATGGTAAAGGGTCGTCAAGAATTAATGGTACCATTTGTGTGTGTCTAATTGGATTATTGAAAATTTTGAGAGATGGTTTAATCCATTCAGCCTTTTCTTTTTCTTCCTCGATTGCGATTTGGTTAACTTATGTTCAATTAAATTTAAGTTTTGCAATATTTTCCGTCTTGGCCTGAAAAATTGTTGCAACTTGCACGTACAGGAAGTTTATCTAGTGGGAGATTCAGATAAGAGGAGCTGGAAGAACCTACCAAGAGACAGATACCCAAAGAAGCTCGTTTTCCATGATGGTCGATTGGCTCTCATACCAACCCCACTTGAAACCCTAGCAATATTGATGTGGTTACCACTAGGAATTGCCCTAGCAATCTTCAGAATCATCGTGGGGAAATCACTGCCTTACGACGTGTCGTTCCCTCTACTGTGTTTCAGTGGTCTACGACTGACTTTGGGAGGTCCAAAAGCCCAGAGTGAAACCCTTCCAAAGGACAAGCCTAGAGGTACGCTTTACGTTTGTAACCATAGAACCCTGCTAGACCCTCTCTACATTTGCGTCGCACTGAAGAAAAATCTACACGCTGTAACGTACAGCCTAAGCAAGATGTCTGAGATCCTCTCACCAATCAAGACCGTCCGATTAACAAGAAATCGCCATCGAGACGGAAAGATGATGGAGAAGTTGTTGAATCAAGGGGACGTCGTTGTTTGCCCCGAAGGAACGACATGTCGTGAACCCTACCTCCTTAGGTTTAGTCCCTTGTTTACAGAAATTAGTGACAAAATAATTCCTGTTGCAATCAACACCCACGTCGGCATGTTCCATGGCACAACTGCTGGCGGGCTCAAGTGCTTGGACCCACTTTTCTACCTGATGAACCCCTCACCGATCTACACCGTTCAGTTGCTGGAGAAGGTATCCGGGCTGTCCACTTGTCGTGATGGGAATAGATCAAGCTTTGATGTGGCTAATTACGTGCAAGGTGAGATTGGCAAGGCATTAGGGTTTGAATGCACCAAGCTTACAAGGAGAGATAAATACTTAATTTTGGCCGGGAACGAAGGTATTGCTTCCAAATGTACAATTTAAATCCTGAGTATAGTAACGTCAGAGCGTCGTATTTTCCGATTACATTTAAGTGAACCAAATTGAAAGTGAAATCGGCTTGTTACATCAAATTGTTTGGATGAGTTGGTAATCTAACACAAAATAATTTATGTGGTTCACTAATGTAATCTAAATATGTGTTTGCTTTAGTTGAATCTCATACGTTGCAATGTAAGGTTAAGTGTGTGAATAATAACCGTTTATCAATTAGGGTTTCTTAATCAGAGTGGACAAACTGAACGTGTCCTTTATCTTGTGTCCATTTAAAGTCTTTGCTTTGGTTTCAAGCTAATGTAGTAGGTTTATTTTATACACACCCCACAATTTTATGAAAACACCCCACATTATAAAACTTTCTCAAAAATTCCAACGTTGTTCCTCATTTTTTTGAAGCCACCCCACATCCCCACTCCAAAAAACAAAAAGCACACTCGGCAGCCCCAATTCGACAACCAAGTATATTTGATTACCTCCATAAACATCGGCTGGAAACTCCAATTTCTTTGGTTACAATCCAACACTTCGACTCATCAACCCGGATACTCCTTTACCTTTATCACTTTCGTCGTCGAAATCGTCCTCGCGCACAAGCCACCCCATCGCGTGGCCCCTCTTTGTCTCTCACTCTCAAAAGAACATAAAAAAAGAAAAAAAGCGACACATTTCTTCTAGAGCATCAGATGCAAATGCAATAGATATATATATATATATATATATATATATATAGAGAGAGAGAGAGAGAGAGAGAGAGAGAGAGAGAGAGAGAGAGAGAGAGAGAGTTGTGCTATCGTGATGAGAAATTACAATTGGTTGGGCTTTTTTGCCTCTGTTTGCATGAGGTGATGCCACCTGCAAGGAATAGTTAGGTGGCTGGGTTTTCTCTTTGTCTACTAACTTAAATTAAATGGGGGTAAGGAGGAAATTTAAGTGAAAAACTTAAAGTGTAGAATGCCTTCATAAGATTGTAGGGTGTTAATAGAATTACCCATGTAGTTTTTTTTTTTTTTTTTTTGAAGAGTACCCATGTTGTATTATTAATTAATGATACATTTTATTGTAGACTAGGGATTCCCTTTATCAAGTATATTATTTTCTCTTCTTTCGTATATGGAAAATGTTAGGGAGACCATGTTTTTAGGCCATATATTGTAGATTACAGTTTGTAGACCACATCATGTGGCGGTTAATGGTTTGATTCTTTTGCACCTCTCCAACTACCTTTCCATGAGGTAGGGTTTTTTTGGCCCATGCACTAATTTAGTGAGGAGAAATTAATCCAATTCGAAGTTATTGATGTTTATATTGATCGAGCATAGAAGAAAAATTCTGATTCATTTCATTCCCATTAAGCTTCCTTCCTATTAATCTAGTTCCTTGATTTTGGCTATGGCTAAATGGTTGGTGAATCCTTGCCTTAGAATAAATAGAATCAAATGGATTCTTTTTTCTTTTTTCCAAAATAGAATCAAATGGATTGAGATTGGTACGATCCAACCTATTATAGTTGATGGTTGGATTCTTTCTTTAATATTAAAAAAAAAATCCAATCATTAACCGCCACATCATATGATTTACAAAGACATAATTCAAGTAGACGCTCTAGCATCACCCTTCTTATAGGGATGTGATATCCACACACCATTTTTTACTTCTCACACACTCTTCTAATTTTCGGCCGTTGGATCGGATGAATTGAAAAAGATCAATGGACAGAAATTAACAAAGGATATGTGAGAAGTAAAATGAGGTGTGTGGATAGCACACCCCTTCTTATATTATATGTTGATCGTAAGTTCCAACTATTTCGCTGAAAGTCGGAACTAAATATTGGTCATGACTTCTCAGCTCTCTATTTTTTATACCCAGAAGTGTTAACAGGTTTTAATTTTGTGTAGCGATCTTTTTATATACACACAAGTCTCTTCTCAACAAGATCTTGTTTTATTGTAGCAAAAACAAAATAAATATAAGATCATCATAGTAATTATGTATTCACCATATATATATATGAGGCCGGTAAAGGAAGGGATTTTTTTTTTTTTTTTTTAATGGAGATTAGTTGTGAGGCTCATACCACATCGAATTTCAATGATCCAAACTGTCTATTTTACAAGTTGCACCTCATAAATCATCCTTAAAAAAAGCCAAATTGGAAATATTAAGACATCTAATTGAGTTCAAAAAAATTAACGAACAATTTGTTCTATAAGAAACAATGAAATTTCATCGTAATAATTAAATAAGCAAATGGTTTCGGATTGAATTAAATTTTTGGAAGAATGATCTATGAATCGAGATTTATAAAATAGACGATTTAGATTGTTGAAGTTTGATGTGGAGTGGGTCTCCCACAATTAGTCCCCATTTTTATAAATATGTGGAAATGACATATGAGAGCCTTCCTATGCTCGTGTTTATATTCTTATAACTTTTCCTTTCATCATGTTTATTAGGTTCAAATCATTGAAATGCAAGGGCTATTCAAATGTGAAATTTTTATAGGACAAAAGCATACAATTTACGTTTAGGTTTTCTTTATTAGCCACTTTTGTGCCTCTACTGTTTGAGCACCTAATTAAGAGTATCTGTTTTTGGGGTGAAATTGTTTTCTCTTTTATCTTTTGTGTACTTTTTGTAATTGCTGCAGAGAAGAACCTTTACTTATGCTTTGTTTGCATATATATCATCTTCTTTATGTATGCCAGTTCTTCTTAAAAACTACCTACGCTAATATGTCCATTTGAACTTTATTTTATAAATGTTCACTATCTTCTGAACACCCCCCCCCCAAAAAAAAAAATGTATTTCTTGCCTTGACACTATTTTTTCAAATTACATTGCCTATAGAAAAGACAAATCATCTTTTACAAGATCATGTGATTGCTTCGTCTGTAAATGCAGGCCCTAATAAACAAATATTGATTAGACTGTAGAGAGCTGGAATCGTGCATGGGTCGAAATGAAATGCATGGCTGTTTGTAAATATGTGGTTGTTCTTGCGTGTGGATAATCTAGTATATATCCAAATGACCAACCAAACCAAACCAAACAAAATTAATTTTGTTGGATCAACAAAATACTTCATTGAATGTGTTGCAAAGGCTTTTTGGATCCTTCTCCTTCGGTTTTGGGTCCCTTGCTTCTTTCAAATAAAAATTAATTAAGTGTGTAGTCAAAGTCATCAAACTCCATCACCATGTGCTGTTTTTCTTTTTGGGAGGCTTGGGGCTGGGGATCCGACTGAAGGAATTCAAGCACTAATCACCATTTCCATGTCCAAGTCGTACCTATGAAGTGGCATATGACTTGTCTCGTTTGCTGATAACATTGTGTGTACCTTGATATTGGTATGTTGTGTTTACTATCTTTGTGGTGGATCTACACCGATGGTGTTTGTGGGTGGTGCGTATACTTGAAATAGCCATTTAGAGAATTATTATGTTTGTACGTGTGAATTATCTTCATATCAATACATTTGATCACCCAAAAATATTCAACGCGGCAATCTTTATAACTATTCTCGTTTATTAATACAAAATCAGTATATTTCTTGCAAAAAAATCACGTCTAATAATTGATATATTTCTTCTGATAAGGCAAATGATTGTAAATGTGAATGCACCTTTTTGTATACATACATACATATATATATATATATATACACACACACACCAAATGGGGGCGAAAGACTACCGTTTATTGACGATGGAAGAAATTATGAGGACATAAATCAAGATTACAGTCATAATGATGAAGTGGTGTGCATATATCAAACCAATGGCTATAAACATGAAGAAAGAATTGAACAAAAGACAGATCGGAAATTACCTTGTATTTGAGATACTCAATGAATTGTCTAGGAGTAAGAGAATTAAAATCAGAAATGGTGAAAATATTTGTCATAATGAAAATAATGAATTTAAATTAGTTGTGCAGATATAAATTTGATAATATTTTTATTTCAAGTTGAAACCAACGTACAAATTTTTGTCTACTGACAATTGATGAAAGAAGCAATGGAGCTCGCAGGCATCCTTGATGATAAAATGAAAATACAAGTGTTTATAAATTTTGGCTGGATATGAGATGGAGCTGAATAGTGGCTTCTATTCTTGGGAGAATTCGCAGAAGTCTCAGCTATGATGGACAAAGTCCTCCTCCTCTGAAAATGAAATTTTCTTTTGTAGGGAGATGAGTCTCGGTTGTTGAAGCGGGATTCCCGGCTTGCATGTGCTAAAAGCTGTAAAGGTTGGCGAATGATGATGTTTTTTAATGTGGAATCATGCTGTTGAAATGATGGATGAATAGTAAAAGAGATTTTACTATTCATGGATAGTGCTTTGTCGGAATGATTGCTGCTACTGCTGATGCTACTTTCGATGATAAAATCACATGCTGTTACTATGCTATTGACATGGGTAAAATTTTTAAATGATTACAAATTATTACATTTTGAAATTCAAATTTCAAATGGGTCTTGAGAATCTTGGTAATTGGTCTACTTGACTGGTTGAGACGAAGTGTCTGATGAGTCAGAACTTGTTTCTTCTTCTTAATTGTGCAGCAAGGCTGCTTCTGCCATAAACTTGTCTGCTAATTCTTTAAGCTGTGAGGATTTCTCTTTTTTCTTCGAACTTGTTGATTTGGATGATTTGGATGATTTAGTCTTTCCTTTGAGGGAGGATGAATGGCTAATGTCTGATAAGGATTGTGTTTGTTCAGGAATTTTCGGCAATGCCTTTGTTGTTGGTGGAGACACCATTGGGATAGGAACAATGGGAAATTCTGATGAAACAAAGTTGATGATTTTTTGGTAGTCGAATTTATCCTACCATTTGACCCATCTAGAACGGTAAACTTCACCTATTTCAATTTCGTAATTCCATTTCATGATCCAAGGGACCTTGTATTTTGCCATGAACAATGGTAGAAGTGAAATTATGTTGTCGAAACAGCTGCGATCAAATTTTTTCTGGAAACTATTTGAGAGGATTTGCATGAGATCTTCTGACAGTAAACTGGCTGTTGGGCCGTGAGTAGACCACCATTTGGGAAACCACGTTGGAAAATTTAACCTGAAACTTTTATCAAAAGTTATGAACCATGAATGACTAAAGTCTGTTGTTTGATGAAGGAAAATGTTGGTCCAGACTTGAATGTAATCAAAATAATTGTAGTGGTTATTTGGAATAAGGACATGTTGGGTATGAAGTGGTTTGGTTTGATAGAGGGGGATTCCCCATTCTTGTTCTGAAAGAAATCTTCCAATGTGGAGGGAATGGTAAAATATTTTGTTTTCATGGGTGTTGCTGAAAATGGGTTTGATATCAATGCTTTCGGTTTCATTGAGAATGGCTTGGTAATATTTGAGGGTTTTGAAAGACTCAGTTGGAAGATGATGGAAGTTTGGAGGTAGAAGTGTTTTGGCTATTTTTTTATAGGGGTTGTTTTTTATTAATATGGTAAGGGATGCTGAAAGGGTATTCCATTAGATTTTTCTTGACTGTAGAAGTCTTAACATGTGATTTGAGACTTCTGCGAATTCTTTCAAGAACAGAAGCCACTATTTAGCTCCATCCCATATC